TGTCCAAAGGATCTCCAAAGCAAGAATCAAGACTTAAATAGGTTCCCCCCACAGCGAAACATCCCCTCGTTTCCCCCCAAGGAGAGCGTGGACCTCTTCCGCCGCCGCCGCGAACTGCAGAACTTCCGCCGGCTCCGGCGCACCGCCGCGCCGGCGGCGGCCTCCGCGTCCGCCGCGTCGTCGGCGGCGCAGGACATGGAGCGGCGGGAGAGCGAGGCGGTCTGACGGGCGCTGCAACGCCGCGGATGACGCGGACCACCGGTGGGTCGCCTCGACCCGGAGAAGTGATGTGCAGCGCGGTGATGCGCCGGAGTGGCGCTTTCAGGTGGAGAGATCACGATCCAGACAACCAACTTAAGAGGTATTTTGGTGTCTTTTTGGCCTGGAAGAGAGTGGTGAGGGGTGCTGTACGTACAAGCTACCTCCTTGTCAAGATCGTGGTGAACACAGTAGTGAAAATCAACGGGTCCGAACAGTCGAGACTCGCAAGAAGGGCCAACGGTCCATGGTAAAGGCAGGAAATCTGATCTCTCCAATTTCGGCTGTGTGCCGATAAGTGGCTGCGGCGATCTCTGGCAGCTGTGAAACGCGTGAAACGCGTGAAGTGTCGATCCTTTCAAAAGATCTTCTACCAATATCCATCCATGTCCATCTGACCATTTGGGTGTCCGGACTACCCAGCCCTATCCGGGATCTCCGGACAGGATGGTATAGATCCATATAGTACGTTGTTGACCTCTTTTCACAGTCGCTGCCAGAGGCCCTTCCCAACGTGAGAGCGAAAAAAGGGCGTCGAGGCGTCGAGTTATGGCACACCTGCAGCGGAGCGGTTTTGCTTGTAAGAAATCAACAAGCCCCTCCCCCTTGTGGGGTCGTTTTTTGTCTTCACACCTTTGGGCGTTGGTTTTATCCAGCTGAGAGGGGGCACCTGATTGGTATTCAGTGTCGTGTATGTCTAACATGAGTGCAACTCGTTGACAGTGTCTGAAGTGATTCGCAGTGTAGCAGTGGAGGACTGACTCGCTGATCTGTACTTTGCTCCAAGAGATGTTAGGAAGGTTGTCTAATTAAGTTCTTTTTTTGAGTTGGAGGCCTTCCCCAAAAAGACATATATATATATATATAGCAAAAAAGACCATTCCTCCTGTCCCTGTCTGCCTGTTTCAGTGAGTTGCATGAATTTCACCTCTTCGGTCCATTTGTTGGAACCCCTCGGACGTTCCTCGACGGGGGCCGCAGCGAAGGCCTATCCTGCCGTGAGCGTGTGCGATGGCCCGGAGTCTCATCTCGGTCCTCGCGAAAACACGGGGAGTGGACGCTCCTGGGGAGTGGACCTTTGCGAAAAAGGACGGAGAAAAACCGCGTGTTTTTCGGCCAAAACGATTGGAGAAGAAGTGATGTTGAAGCGTCGTGAGTTATGAATCTCGATCTCCACAATCAAGAAGAAACCTGTCCGGACATCACATGTCAGTCCATGTGACTCCGGCCCATTTGGATTCTAAAACCTCTTCAAGGTGAGTGCAGGGTTTTATGACACAAGGTCTTTTTTGCATTGAGTGTTTGTGACCTCGACAGTGCGACAGTTCACTCCAAGCTCACCTTCCACGAGTCCAGGTCCAACATCATCATCTTCTTTTTCAAAAGATCTCTAAGCCCTAAGCATCATCATCATCATCATTATCTCGTCATCATCATCATCATCATCATCATCATCTTCTTCTTCTTCTTCTTCTTCTTTTTGGATAGCTCTCTATAAGAATACCCTTCTACACCCAGGTTTGTCACTTTAGGTCACCCTGGTGATCTTCTTGAAACACCTACCCGCGCCGGCTCAGGTGCCGAGCTGCTCCTGGTCTTCGACTCGCCCTCCTTTGCGCAGGATCCACCAGGTGTTGATCCGAAAGAACATTCCGGGGATCGCCTTTCATGTCGATCCAAGGAGGTAAAAATGAGCAGAAATGCTTTCAAACCCACCCGATGCTTTCGAAAGAGGGGTAACCACGTGAAGTGAGTGAAGAGTCACCCCACGTCACGTTTCGTCTTCGTTCGAGTCGGCCAGGGGCAGGTACTGGACAGGTACTGATTGGAGCCACTGTTATCAATGTAGGTGCCAGGGTCGGGTCCAGTCGTACCTGAGAAGGTACGACTGGATCCCTAGACAAGGAAGTATAGTAATTACCAGGACCGGACTCTGAAAGGCCGGCAGCCCGAGCATTGGTGGTTTTCTGGACACCGAACTTTTTCAAACCACAGGAAACAGATGTTGGAAGGTCGGTAGACCAAGAAGATCTTTTGTGATAGATGTATGATGTATGCCATATCCCTTTGTTCATTCCCTTGGAAAAAGGCATGTCATGACACATGATCTTCAAAGGCTTTAAACACCTGCAAGCCACTTTGGAGCTCGGGACTCTGGAGCTTTGACCCTGTTTCACCTGGGAAAACACATTGAAGAAGAGGTTTTTGAGGTGAACACGCACCGTGACATTCTCATCAAGAGGATGAGGTGCTGGATGAGGTGCTCAAATTCCAAGACCACTGGGCCGCGGCCGACGAGCACCGGGTCTTTCCACTTCTGCACCCACGGCCGACGAGGCCGGCATACGGCGATCGTGCCGCCACGGAAGATGCTGTGAGAGATGCCGCCATCCGTCGTTCAAACGGATTTAATTGAGACACATCTGAGAATCTAAAGCTTTTTGAAGAATTTGCCTTGCATATAGTGAGATTATGAGGGACACATGTTATTTTGGGGAGCAGAGACTGCTGGTAGCATCAAGATGCTTTTTGACGGGTCAACTTGAAATCCACAACTTTGTTAAACACCTCACACCACAACTGGACGACGCTCAAACACGACGTTTCTCTCATCTTGGTTTCGCTGCCTGCACACCCACATGCACCTCGTGCGTTTCCTTAGTGTGCATCTCTGAGGTTTCACCGTTCATGAACCCATGCGGAGGGATAAAGAGGCGCCAAGTGCTCTAGAGGTGCAACCTCTAGAGGTCTAGAGGTTGCTTTTTGGTGTGAAGACATTCTGAGAGTATTGATACCAGATGGATGCAGAATTTCAGAGCACAAAACATCGTAGGATCTCTAGGGCTATCCAGCAGTCCCTTGCTAGACGAGACGTGGTTGCATCGAACAACTGGCGAATGTCCGCTGGCTGTTTGGCTTCAAGTCTAGGCCGCTTGATCGCTTACAAATCAGTCTCTCGATCACCACTACAGCCATGACAGGCACTGGATGGAATGAGTGCTAAGTGAAGGGTGAAGGGGTCAATCAATCCCCTTAGTTGGAGAGAAAGGAACAAGGGTCGTTACCCAACTTTTTGGGGGGTAGAATGTCAGTTGCGTGACACTCCACCGATTGACGTTAAAAAAACGAGCGAAGGTCGGACTGTTTTGCGGTCTGTCGATTTGTTCCAGGTTTTCAACAGAAGCTGTAGATACGTCTGTAGCTCTATGTAGCTCTATAATGCATATGCCGGGTAGATGATTCCGGCACCACCTTTTGACTAGCTCATCCAAAGTCCTCCTCCAGCTCCAAATCGTGTGCATGTTTGCTCTTTCCATATATACATTCAATGTCCTGGATGAGCACTAGCACATTTTCCCGGGAGGAGATCCGTCCATTTCTAGGATGTTCCACAGTACATCTGCTGCGGCTCCAAGTCCGGCGGTATCCCAGCTATTGGGCCATCCACCAAAAGAGTATACCGTATACCGCACACCCGTTTTTGGGGGTCTTGATGGAGCGTCACCTTCCCATGCGCCGGCTCCACCGTCCTCCAGTTCTGCATGTTGGAGTTCGTCCATCAACGCGATCTGAAAGAATGTGTAGCTCTTTCATTCAGGTTTGAGCTGCACTGCCTTGAGACCACCTGTCTGCATCGACTTCAGGAGAGCAGCCTCTCCAACCAACCCTGCGACATGTGACCTTCCCCCGGGCTCTTGCATTGGAACCAGTAGGCGCCGCCTTCTCACTCTTCTTGCTTCCACGCCTCGACATCCTCAACCGTGTGATCATTTGTGATCCATAGTTTCCGACTGTTGTTTCATCCGTTCTGCTGACCACAGATTGAGAGGAGACCCATGTCGGGAGGGTCCGCTCGCCATACTTCCATCTCACACTTCTTGATGTATCGCTGCACTGGTTGCCGTCGTTCTTGTCCATAGACTGCACCTCCCAAGTACTTGGTCTTGAGCATCTCCTGGTACCGCTTGACGTTCAGGAAGTATGGGAAGTTGTTCTCGATCGATTGGTCCTCACTAGCGCACTGCTTTGATGGCTGCCAAGCAGACGTTGGGCTCATATTCCTCGTGTCCAAAACTGAACGGGTTGTTTTCACTTGAGCAGGGATTGCTTATTGAAGAGGATTGACACAGGAACAAACTTCAAGTATCTTCAAGTGATCTGGGTCGGCTTCCACCACCTAGCTGCAGAGCTCAGTATGATCACAGTCCCAGCATTGTTGTTCAACATCACTTGCATTGTAAACTCTGCAGCTAAAGTCATCATCATATCTTGATGCACATGTGTTGTGAACACTCAATATATGAGAATGGTGTACTTATGTCAGATTTGCTTATGGTTCCCATCAAAACATGCCTGTCAGGCCTGGTAGTTTGCGCTGCTGGTAACATTTGGATATATCACATTCCAGGGGGTGGAAGTGAGAGATAGTTGATGTTATGTTCTACATACATTTTTTTTGCGGACAATCACAACATGCTAAAACCTTTTGATCCTTGGTACGGTTCAGGCCAAACCTGAACGTCGGGTCGTGGGGTTCCCACAGCTGCAAGGCAAGCTATGATGCAGCAGCTGCAGTCAAAACTGGCAAATTCAGGAGCGAGTCAGCTGACTGTCTCCGCTTGGTCAAAGCCTCAGACTGAGGATCCCACAACGATCGGTTCTTCACTCAAGTGGCTTGGCTTTCAGCGGCGTGCGTCCCAGCAGTTGGCTCAAGAGGGGCAAAGTTTCCTTGCGCCCGATTCATGATGGAAATCGAGCAGACCATCGCATTAGGGTATGGCAGTTGTGCTGTGGCTCCCTTGGCTCTATTTTGCCTTTGGTGTTACAGAGACGAACTGGAGGGGGTCATCAATGCCATCAAGGGAACATTGTGGCTTTGGTTGACAGTGCCAGTGACATTGGTGCTGTGGCTTGAGATTCTTTGGCTCCCAATCTGGTTGGCAAATTTCGTTGCAGTGGTGGTGCAGCTCATCATGGGAATATTATCTCTCCAGCTTTTTGGACTCACACTGCGGGTGCTTCAGAGTTTTTCAAGCAAGCTCCGTAGTAAGCTCCGTAAGGCAATGTCGGCAAGGTCGAAGGGTCCTTTGACTTTGGCATTGACGGCGATGGGGTCGTTGATATCGGCGATGGGTCTATTGATAGGTTTGATCGCCCCATGGGTGTTCTTCACTGCCACTCAAGTCTTGCTCATTCAGGCCCTGCAGCATGGCTGGGAGCCACCCTTTGTGCTGCACCCTCTGAAGATGCAGGCAAGATTCTTAAGATCAAACCTAACCCCAGAGGACATCGCACATCTTCAAAATCTCACCATGCCTGATAAGGTCATTCCGAAGGCATGCCAAGCGATCAGGACTAGCGACCTGGTCGACAATGTGACTGCGGGTATCACCTGTGCCAGCTGGTGCCGTGCAGTGGACCTATACCTACCCAGTAGCAATTACCTGTTTTGGTGCTTAAAAGCAGAAGCATGGTGGGCTTTCTCGCCTCCCCTTGCAATTGCCTTCGCGGGCTTTCATTTGGCCATTCCAATCTCAATCTTGTCCGCTGTGCTCTATGCTCTGCCAGCCATTTGGGTCACATGCAGGGCAAGGCTTCGATCAGACCAGAATGCTACTGCTGGGTATGAGAATTTACCTTTGAGCTCCAGCGATGCTCCTCCATCTCTCCCCTCTGCCGATTGGCCGCTTGAAAAACCGTCATCAACAGACATCTTGAGTCGGTTTGCCCATTGGATGTACAACAATGATCGGGACGCAGCGATCTTCTTGGCCAAAGTCGCTGTTGGATTCAATATCTTTGAGGTCGTGGGAGATGTCAACAGCAGCTTTAACTTGTTGGCCCTTGGTCAGCCTTTCTACGCTTTGGCCATGTTGGCCTCAATAATTCTTCCCAACTACCCAGGTCTCTTCCAAATTGGCATGGCACAAGCTCTTGAAAAATGCACACAGCAAGGGATGGTGTCTGAAAAATTGCTCGAGCATCAAGAAAGAGAAGGGCTCATTGAAGGAGCGATTTCGTGCATCATTGCGCTGTGCGCCTTGGTGCGAACCCCAGCCATGTCGCCCTTCAGCACGGCATCACTGGCGTTCACTGTTTGCACCTCCATAGCCTTCAGCATCCCTTCGGGCAGCACAGCCCGTGCCCTGCTGCAAGCTAAGGTTGAGGGAAAGCTAAATCTCAATGACTACTACCAGTTCAGTAAGGCCAGAAAGGACTTGGAACCGGCCCAAAAGTACTTCATCTCTGTCCTGGTGATGAGCTCGGGCTGTGCACTGGGGTTGATGCTATGTGCAGTTGGAGACTGGATGCAGAATCTTTCGAGTGGTCCAACGGCGTTCCACTGCATGTCATGTTGGAAATTAGTTGTTGGATTTGTGGGTTGTAATCTTCTGCTGCTAAGAACTATGTTTGTCACAAAGTACATCGTGACGGTCTTGTTTATCATCTTTTGGATCTTGCAATGGATCGATGTGGTGCAGCATAGCGACTGCCTGTTGACTTGTGAGGAGTGGCACATCCGACAGATGATCTTCTCAGTTCTGGGAACCGTGGCTTCTCTCGCTTCTCTTTGGTGGTGGCAGACCAGCAGCCTGGTGACAGATGTCATGGAAGATTACGCCCATGCCCACGTCGTTTCTCCCTCGTCTTCTTCCTGCTCTTCTCCTTCTTCTTCTTCTTCTTCAACTTGAGGGCCGGACAATTTCATGGGTATGAAGTGCAAAGTTGCAAACATGTACAGAGTGCGCCTTAAAGTATACAACCTTAAAGTATATGTTGATACTTGTGATAATTGTAAGGTAGGCATTGCCCCAATCTACACAATCATGGCACGCTTCGGATTCGGAGCGTTGTGCCCGACCCTCATCACCTCGTGTCAGGAGGTAGTCGAGTGTCACTTGGCTGGGCAGAAACTCCAGGGCGACGCCGAGGGAAGGGCGGCCGGGGTCGCGCAGCGACGCGCAGGAAGGAGAGTCGTGAAGGTCCAGGGAGATGAGAAGCTCCAAGATCTAGCTTGATGGTGTATAGTCTAGTGTATATACATATAATTAGGTACGACATGAGGATGGAAAGCACCTAGCCGGTTGCATAGTGCTTCAGAACACGAAACCTTGTTTGTCCAAACATTAGATAATGGGAACGTATAAAGGACCCCTCCGTATTTGGTGGCAAAAAGATGCAAAAACCGGGTTCCTATAGGTTTTCCGACAATCCATGGACTCATTAATGAGAATTCAACCATACTTGCTGGCAGACATGCCGGGATGACCTGGTGGATGTTCACATACCCAGGTCCGCACGAGGTGCGTGTGGACCTCCTCATGTACATCTCTGAGGTTTCACCGTTCATGAACCCATGCGGAAGGGGGAAAAAGAGGCGCCAAGTGCTTTAGAGGTTTTGCTCCGGCTTTGAAACGAGAACACTGTGAAGATATTCTGAGAAATGATACCAGATCTGAAAAAAGAGAACAACGCATCATATATTGCTTTGGACAATGGGATCTCTAGGCTACCCAGCTTGCTTGCTTTGAGACGTGGTTGCATCGAACAACTTGTGTTTTCATCTGCATAGATTCTTCGTTAACGTCCGCTTGCTTTTTGGCTTCAATTAGTCTAGGCCGCTTGATCGCTTACAAATCAGTCTCTCGATCACCACTACAGCCATGACAGGCACTGGATGGAATGAGTGCTAAGTGACGGGTGAAGGGATCAATCAATCGCCCCAGTTTGAGAGAAAGGAAAACATTGTAGAAATCACTTGACACCTTTTCAATTACGAAAGGGCCGGGCCGTTACCCAACTTTCTTTTTGGAGGGTGCCAAGATTGCATGACACTCCACCGATCGACGTCACAAAACGAGCGAAGCTTGGACTGTTTCGCGGTCTGTCGATCTTTTCCATGGTTGTCTTAAAAGAAGCTGCACCTATAGCTCTATGTAGCTCTACAACACATATATGCCGGCATCCTATGCCCATATGCGTATGACATCGCGACATATGCCAACCCAAGGATGCTCCGTTCATTGTGTCTCATGCTGCACCCAAATGCCGCTGCGGCCAGGCATGAAGCGATCGACACGGGCGCTGCTCTTGCTGGGAGCGATGGGTGCCCTCTATAGCCAGGCGAGGTCGAGACTGACATGGCCTTGCACGGTGAGGATGGAGACATTCACAGGGTTGATAGGGAGGAATTCTTTTTGCTCAAGATGCTCTTTTCAGAAATCCGAAGGCACCCCCGGCAGGTTCAGCGTCACCTCGCTGTTTGATTCGAGTTGATCAGGTACCATGCAATGTCTTTCGAAGGGAGAAACACCTGCCCGTCTCTCTGTGGTCAACAAGTCCATTCGCGTTCTTCTCCACGCATGAAACTATAGTGAACAGCTCCTGGGATGGAGGATGTATCATATATCCTGCCAATTCTTGACCTTTCAGAAGGGGTATGAAGTATGAAGTCATGTCTTTTCTATAGAACAAATGCATGAACATGCCATTTCTTACTCCGATCTCCCACGCTGCCCAGCCTCGTCCCACGCTGCCCACCAGTCCGTCCCGCCGAGGCCTTCGTGCCCGGCCGCCGAGCGGTGCTCTCGGGCGGTCTCCTAGGTGCACTGAGTCCGGGCAGCTCAGTGGGCGCGGTCTCGGGCAGCGGTCGATTGGGACGGATGAGTTGGAGCATCCCAAAGACCAGTCTTAAAGTACCTGATTTTATAGGGTCATGGCCCATCATCCTCATCATCCCCATTTTGCTAAGGCTTAAAGAATGGACCTGGAGTTTATTTGATTTTATAGGGTCATTGCATGGTCATTGCATGTCATTGCCCATCATTGCCCCAGTTGCTAGGGTACTTTGGAGGGTCCAGGTATAGTATCTGTCATGGGTGTTCTTTGTAGATCTCATAAATCGATGGTCGATTTGGATATGTTGGCAGTTTGCAGCGTGTATGTTTCTCTGTCACCAAGGCAGGAATCCAGTCACCCCCAAAACGACCCGTTTGGGGTCACAGAAGTTCTGGAATGACTCTCCGAAGACATCTCAAGACTCAAGACTCTTGGCTTGTCTGCAGTCCAGTGATGGAAGACCTGTAAAAACTGCAGATGTCCCAGCCCAGAGTTGCGGCATCACCCCAGAGTTGCGGGCTCAGCCTGTCATCACCCCAAAACATGAGGTCCAGCCGCCCAGCCGCTTCGACGATTTCTGCACCGACGGAGTTCAGCATTACTCAGTTCAGTCCGGGCGATGTTCGAGTCATCAGCATCACCGATTCGTGTGTTAAAGAAGCAAGTTGGAGACCAGTTTCTGCAGATCATTGCGGAGACGTGTTTCCAGAGTCTGAGAGGAAATCCTGTGGGACATCCACCTCTTTCAGGATATAAGACCCTGACTTTGAAAGTCCACGTACCATGTTGCTCAATTAATTTGTTTCAATGAGAAAAGCGAGATCTTCTTCAAAACTGGCTAAATGTGGCTACAACCTCCAAAACCCTTGAGCTTGAAGTCGTCAAACCATTATAAACATATTCACTTGTTCTATCTTGTTCTCCTTCTCGTGTTCCCTGTCTCACCATCACTTCATTCTTCGCCACCAGCACGCACCGGTGGAATCCGCATTGACCGGCCACTCTCGCCACCGCGTGGGCCTTCCCCGCCTTGACCGGCCGTCCATCCGCCGCATTCAGGTCTGTCGGAGTCCGCGAAGGCGGCGGACTTCTTCGGCATCCCGAGCATCCCGGGGCCCTTTGAGATGAACCCCAACGACGCCGTGGTCATCGGAGCGGGGTTACGGGGGTGACGGGGAGACGGGGTCACTTCACTGAACGAGGTGAAATCGAGAGAGGGGGGGGAAAGTGAAGGGAGGAAACGACAATGAGGGGGGGAAAGGCTTGGAGATAGAAGAGATTTATATCAAAATGGAAGTGGGATGTAAAGTAAGTTGCTGTGATGATCGTGATGTGATGGATAGAAACAGTATATCTATCATATATGCGGTAGTTTTAATACGTGATGGAACTTGGAAGATCAAGGTCTCTTGGAATTGGACCTTGCCAAACGCGGATCCAAGGCAGACGCCGTGCAGACGCTCGTCCGGACCATTCCGGACCGATGTTGCATCCGTCCGCAGGAGATGCCAAAGACCCCAAGATCCTGGAAGCAAGGAAGAAGGTGGGGCATCGATGTCATAGAGCATGGCATTTGAAGCATGGCATATATCGTATAATTCGGCAGGTTCAAGTTCAGTGCCACATCCGATCGGAAACGTGTCATAGCCCTTGGTGTTCCCGAGTGATTCCTGCCGATGAGCGAGATCCCGCGTTGGCCAAGCGTCGGGAGATCGGTGGGCAGGTGGAAGCATTGCAAGCGCAGGCGGAGGAGGCTTTGGCCAAGCTTGAGAAGGACCCACAGGCCGATGACTGGAGGTCAAAATAGACTTGATCGATAGTACTTGAAAGGAATATTACGTTGGAGGCCATCGCTAGTAGGTTGGAGGCCATTGCTAGTACTTGCATGCATGGTTTTGTTTAGACGGTTATTCCCTGTGGTGAACAGCCATATACATTTTATAGCTGAATACCCGGACCTTTTAGATGGCCAATGGATGTCCTGGCTGGAGATCCCGGATAGTAGCGGGCTGGGTGTTCCAGCCACGACACCCTGATGTGGTATTTGTTTGTGCCTTTGTTGCAAATCCAAGACCAGGTCAACATAGGTCAACGGTTGTTTTCCCATCCATTCCTCCGTTCCTGTTCTCTCCCGATCCTAGCTGCTGAGCATTGTTGGCGTGGTCAACGGGCGGGTTCCTGCCCCGTCAACATCTGTCAAAGCTAAGCAAAGCGAGCCGCATTCTTCGCCAAGCGATCCAGGCGCCACTTAGATGAAGAATCTACTGCCTATCTGACTACTCCGTAAACACACAAGCTCTCCTGGCATCTCCTTCTTCCTTCCCCGGAAACCACCGGACACCGCGGACCTCCCGGGACCTCCTCCGGGGACGCGGAGCCGAGGCGGACCTCGCCTACATGATCCAGGACTTCGGCATCGGAGAGCTGCGCCTGGCGAGGGTCCCCCAAAAGGGAAAGGACTAAAGGACTGGAAAAGGAGGAATGGAAAAGGAGTGAAATGGACTCAACAGTTGCAGATAGCTTAGCATATAGAGGGTATTGACATGTATTGATCAATCGAATTGAAAATGACTGGTGAAGGCTCCTTGGAAAAAGGTCCGTCCTGTGCCTTACACGAATCGGCACCTGAGGTTTCCATGTGGGTGTGTATAGTAAAACAGGGAGACCTCGACAAGGACCCCCTCAAAGGAAGGAAAATGAACCAGTCTACCCAGCCATGGAATCTCAGATTTAAAATTCACATCCATGTGGAATATTCCACCATTCAGGTGGTGTTTTAGATCTTTTGAGTGGTCAATGTAACATAATTAAAGATGTTCAGTCCCATGTTTTTGGAATGGTGTGTGGTTCGGACAAACAAGCAATTCATGTCCTTAAAGCCTTAAAGGTGAGGAAGCCCCTATACTCAACAGCTGAGGGTGAATTGACATGAGTTGACCCCGCGCACGAAAACACCTCAGGAATCTCGACTCTTCTCATTCTTGTCAACAGGGCCCATTGAACAGAAGTGGAGGACACATGGTCGAAAGATGGCGTTTGAGGTGAGGACCTCCACTTCCATCAGGACCTTGAAGAGTAAGTCTAAGTCACACCCAATACCAATGGCCTCCACCCTAATAGCGAGACCAAAATCATCCGTCCAAGGTGAACTAGGGCTTTCTCGAATCCCACTGCTCCCTGTTGACACCTGGAGCTCCGAGGCCACCAACGCCATCAACGACATCATGGACGACAAGACTGCGGCAGCCACGCAGCGCTGGCAGCGTCTCATGATTCAGGCGCTGCCATGAGACGAGTCGGAGCCGTTTCCGCCGCTGAGAAAGCCGCTGTTCCGCCGCTGAGCTGTTTCGTCGTCTTCGTCACCGGGTGTCCCGAGCCACTGGACTCGAGGATCCTGACCGAAGAACTTTCACCCTCCGCCCCTAAGAGAATCGGATGCGAGGGCGAACGCCGCAGGGTTTCGCGGCTGGCCCAGCTTGTCTCACGGCTTGTCTTAGCTTTCGCGAAACGGCGCTTCGCCGTGGCCGTTGGGTTTCGCAGGCGAAGTACCAGTGGGAGATCGACGTTCCTTTCCCAACCACCAAGCCGCCCCGAGCGGGTCGTTGTTGCGCTGCGCTGCGCTCTCCGCGGCGGTTCCAGACGTCGGTGTGGGCGTTTGGAGAGATCGGTTTCTCCGGGTTTCGGTTGGGGTTCTTCGTTTTAACCCTCCTTATTGCTGGGAGGGTTCTTCCTTTGAGGATAGGACTATAGGACTCAGCTAGGACTGGTAGTAGATGATTGCTTGATTCACAAAAGCACAGGTTGAGCTTCTCGGTTGGGGAGTGCAATTGTTCATCGGGTACCGCGAGTTGTCAATTGGAACAACCTTCAAATCGATGTGGGTTGATGTGGCCACTATACTCAATAGCAGATCTCAGCATTGCTCACAGCTCATTCCAGCCTTGTTGTTCAACATCGCATTGTAAGTTTTGCAGCTAAAGTCATGACTAAAGGTCCACTTCAGCGAAATGATTTCCTTCTCTTGCACTCTTAGTGGAAGCCGGACCTGCCGCCATCCGGGTCTGCCAGGAAGGGAGAGGAAAGACCTCGCGGAGAGAAGCGAAATGATCGTATCAAAGAGTCCTTGAAGAAGTACCTCACTGCCTCCAAGGACGAAGACGACCGAAGACGACCGAAGACCGACCGGTACCGGGTCGAGCGGTGCCGTGCGGGGTCGGGTCGACCGGTGCCGGGCCGATGCCGGTTACGAAGGACGTTCGGAGTTGGGTGCCGGTGACGAACGGAGTTCGCTGCCGGTTACGAGTAGGTGTGCCGTGACGCTACGCCGGTGCAACTCATGTAATTTTCTGTGGTATATAGTATATAGCGGCACAAGCTAGCCGAATAGCTGTGCAAGTTCTGCCGTAGGAGCTGCTCAAGTTCTTCTAGAACACCAGCCCAGCACCCAGCGGGGCCAGGAAGGAAGCAACCTAAGTGAGCTACGGACTCATTACAACAAAGCATGCAGTCAGTCGGACAGTGTCTTAGAGTACAGTCTGTGTAACTGGTGCCTTACTGGCATACCAGACACGTTTTCAGATTCTTTTTCACACCTGAAGAGGATTTTACAGACTTGGCAGAGTGGCGATCTTCATACTGACTGCTTTTGCAGGAGCACACTTTGCAACTGAACATGTCCAAAGCCACAAAGACACCAGTTTTGAAACATTTCGAATCTTAACTCGATTTATATCACTATTAATTTCAACTTGCTCTTATGTGAAAACGTCTCAATCACTCACAGAGGATAGATGAGGACACCGTCTATAAACCCTTTCATTCCGAAGAAACAGACCAATGCGGCGCTGCGAGAGACTCAGCATGACTCAGCATGACTCCTCTTTTCCACTCACTCCAAGTCAGGCTGAAATGGCGACCAAAAAAAGGCTTCGTCTGAAGCGGCCATATTCGTGTGGGCCCCAGAGACCAGGTGTTCGTTGGTGTCCGTGTCCCTGGTGCGGCCGTGTGTCAGTTGAACCAAACAAATTCTGGGTGGATAGGGCCAATGTCTTAAATGATTTTTCTTTATAGGGCTCATTTTTTGAACTTCCCTGTATCCTCCGCCTCTGGAGTGTAAACCACGGTGCAAACTGTCGCAAGCGAGGCGGATTTGTGCCACCCAGAAAGTGTCCATGCTTTCAGCAGCTCACAAGCAATAGCCTCCAACCTAATTTCGATGGCCTCCAACCTACTAGCAATGGCCTCCCCTGTGTGTTTGGTTCCCACCTCCCCCAACAAAACACAAAAAGTAGTCCGCCTTTGTTCAAGGTTCAGAATTCCCCCCAAAAGTAGTCGGTCCAAAACTGCCACACTCTCCGCGAGGTTCACCTACACTCTCTGCGCGCGGAGCCTCCGGGCCTCGCTCTCTGCTCGCAGACCCCATTTTCGTCCCCAGCGGACCGAGCCCAAAAGAGCGCGGTCCGCGCAGAGCGCCGCGCCGTTCGGGTCGACCGATCTACAGTCACAAAGGGATGCAATCCATGGAGGTTAGGGGTGCCCAGAACATCCACTCACTTGGGGACTCCTGGTTGTTACTAGTAGTAAGGCACTTGTTCCTAGTAAGGCACCTGTTACTACTAGCGAGGCACTTGTTACTAGTAGAGCGGCAGTGCGGGCATTAGGGTGGGCTAAGCTGTGTGATGCTGTGTGTGAAGCTGTGATGCATTGAGTTCAGGTGCTGAGTTCGGTGACCAACTATGTATGGCGGGTGGTCAATGGTCAACAAACGCAGTAGTTGGGCTCATGGCGGTCCCTTGAGTGTCCATTTGGGTGTTTGGCTGAGATGATGGGTGCCATATCAAGTGCATGAGCTCTCCATTAAGACCAGGAAGATAGGTTTCGGAATGGATTTTTCCTGGCCTCGGATCCAAGGGACGTCTCGCAAGGGAGAACGGCGACGTCTCTCCAGTGGGTGGGGATCCGAAAAGGACCTTTTTGGCCAATGAGTTGGTCCAAAGACATGTGGATTTCTTTTGGTTCAGACCGTGTTCAGACCATGTCAGCCGCCCGGATTGGCTTCAAAAGGTTTTTCAATGACTGGTAGGCTCTTCGCAAGTCGATTCAGTTGCAGCCAGTGTTGTTTTTCTTTTGACACTTTGAGGAGCAAGCAGATCAGAACGCAAGAACTGTGCTTCGACCGATGCATCTTGCTACAGCCGGTCGACCAGCCCACACCCCAAGCCTACAACCTTCCATTCCGAGCATCGGTTTTTGGAAAAAGCCAACCGACCCCGAGCCAACCGATTTAGTAGTCTTTTGCTTAATTAAGCATATAACTAACTAAAAAGCAAAAGCACTGCCAATTCAAGGACTCAATCTGAGTCTTGGATGTCTTGAAGACGACGACCCGACGAACGAGTTCGTCTTAAACTCCAACCGTCCAACGACTTCGCGCGTTTGATCGGCCACAGCCGCACGACGGGACGACTGCCATGGCGACCCTCCCGATGGAGCGCATGAGTCCAGAGCGCTTCACGATGATCCGGATCACCGTGCAGGCGCGGGGATTCGGCGCGGGTTCGCGACGTGCGTTGGGTCGAAATTGGGCATTTGGGCATTTTGGTGAGCTGGAATGGAATGGTTGGGTTGAATCGTTCAAAAAGTGGCGGCGTCTCCGACTTTCGAACAGAGCAGCAGAGGAAGAAGGAAAAAAAACAACATAAATTATAGGACCGGATAGTCGCCGACATGTTAACAACTTCGGCGGAAGGCGGGCGGATAGGAACACTCAAAAACACAAACCCCATACGTCAATGTGAAAAACATCTCAGCTGATCCTCTGGATTCGCCGAAAGCCTCTTCGATCAGCACTTCGGCCAGGGCGTGCTGAACTTCCCGGCGCGGTCGCTGCGGTCCTCGGCGAAGAAGTCGATGCAAGTGAAGGTGCGGTCCTCGCGGTCCTCCGGGCGAACGCCGGAGTGAGGCAGCGGAGCGGCGGGGGGGAGCGTTTGGAATGGTTTAGAGTGGCCAAGGACTTGATTTATAGGTAGAATTTGTATGAATTTGTATATATTGGGAGAAGAGAAACCTTTAGGTCAGAATCGAAGAGCCCCCAATGTAATGTCTGTGCACTGTGCAAACTTGAAGGGTTTCTTCCGTCGGACGGGGACTCTGACAACCCGGTGAACACATCCGATGCGTCACGTGGAGCGCTTCTCCTGCTTCCTACTCCGGAGAATTCTGCGCCAAAGCTGGCGAGCATTTTGAGCATGTTTGAACTCTGCCACTCAGATGTTACCCTTATAAACTTATAAACTATTATAAACATCTCATCACTCATCATGGGACTCATGATCACGGCAAGCGCAAGCTGTACATGTGATTCCTCCTCATAAGCAGGAATGTGTCGTGTGTGTTTGCGTGTCCTGTGTCTGCGTATATCTGTGTGTGTGGCTCATAAAATGTTGGATGCGCAGGTGACTTGCTCAATTGTTCCCTTTACCGAAGGCTCCCTATAGTACATATAGTTGGTAGTTAGACCCCACAAACCCTTTTTCGATCTGAGGTGCATCCTGTCTTTAATGCCTATAGCAACGATCAACGAACTTCCGCACCACCTAGACTTTCCCAATTGAACACCACACCATGACTCGACCCACACAAGGGGTGCTGCTTTTCCACACCTCAGGACACTGGGGCCTTTCCAACCGAGACGTCGTTAATCGTCGGACGTCGCGGGGGTTGGGAGTCGAAGTCTCCGCGCGGCGCCGAGGTGATGGAGTTGCCTCCGAACAATCCGGAGAGCGATGCTTCACTGCCGATCCCTGCGTCCTTCGAGTTTCAGAACGGACAGGTGGAGGACCGTCGTCCCGACCGGTGTGAACGGGTGTGTGCCGACCGTGTGGAGGACCGGGACGGTGCCAGATTCATTCGAGGTCCTTTCCCCGGTGGCGGAACGAAAACCGGACGGCACCCGCGGCGGCGCTGCGTCCTCCGCGCTGCGATGGGCGATGCCGCGGGCGGAGCGCCGGATTTACTCGCCTTTGGGCCTCGCACAGGAGGATTCCGTGGAATTCGATCCACCACGGTTCTTCCAGACGGATTTGGAATCGCACAGGTGCGCGGTGCTTCGTTGGTTTGGTGTTGTGAATGCAGGGTGCCGGTGGTAGTACTGGTTGTGGAGTTGGTGCCGGTGGAAACGAAGTAGGTGGATCGCAGGTCGAAAGTAGATAGATCTATGTGTGTGCAATGAGTATGTTGGCCCATGCTGGTGTCTTAGCTGATCTCTCATGAGGTCCAAGCAACGAAAGTCAGCACCAAGATCTAAAGGGAAGCAAGTTTCTGAATGCATCTAGATATGCCCTCTTGAAGAGCTTCCCAAACAGCTTCTCCTTGCAACGACTAATGTCGGTATGCCATCTTCACGCGCAGGTCCTGGTTCTTAGATCTGAATCTTGGAAGCCCAAGATCGAAGCCCTTCGCGCGCGTATGTTGGGGGGGCGAATCCCAAGGATCGATGCGCCCAGTGACAGATCGACTGAAGGAACATCCTTTGGGGGGTTCAATCATTTCAACAGGGGTACTGTATAATATAACTATAACCGCCTATATAATCTCTTTTCACTGATACACCGACTATAGGTCATGACCTATGTACTATCACTGACTGTGGACCAGATGTACTTCTGGAAGGGCTGTGTGGGAATCACAACCGTCCGCAAATGATCTTTGGTTTCGACCCGAGTCCGCATTGCGACTGGAATCAAAGACGGAGTGGACAGCTGCGAGGAGGCTGTGAGTTTTCACCACCAGTCCTCCATCCTGTGAGTTCCTCCACCTGAAGTCGGGTGTGACCTTGGAAGTCTTTCCAGTGGAGACCAGAGTCTGTACCGCCGCGGTCGTTCGGTTAGGCCGCGAACAGCTGCGGATCTAGGTTGGTTTCCCAACGGAATGAGAAGGACATGTCATGCAATCCTCAACAAATTTTACATGATCAACGACAATAATATGGTATACCGTACCTTTCCACTTGGTGTTTGATTGTCCTTACCGATCGAATTCTTTTCTTATCCACAACATTCCACAACTAATTCGTTTTATACACGGATACAGTTTTGGTCATCATTAAAGGTGTCCCCGTATGTGTTTTCTGGCCATTGCGCTTTTTTCGTGCTCTTGTGTGGCCCTTGAACCGGCTTCATCGGCGGCCAGACCAACGGGCCCACCGTTCGGTGTCCCCGTCGTCTTCGCGAAGCTTCGAGGAAACTCTGTGACCACTTCGGCGTGGAAGTGGCCTATGCGAAGATCGCACTCGACGAGTTGGCCCGTCGCGCGGACAGATCTCGCGTTTGGGCCGGCTTGGGCTGTTGAAGCGTCAAAGCAAAGAGAATGCAGCATAGGATGCGGCACTAAACCCAAGATATCCCAAGATGCTTGGAGTGCTTGGGGTGTGTTTTGCTGCGTTTTGTGTTCAGGGCACTCAAAAGGAAGGGATGAGCATGATGCGAGAAGTTCTGTTTCCACTATAATGGTGTGAGATTCCTGGTGCCTACATGAGAACCGCCACAGATGTTGTCCATGAATCCCTTTGCGACTCATTGTTCAATTGACGAACAGAAAGAGAAGACGAAACTCCACTGTCCGGGCCGTCTTGCCTCACACGTAACATGAAGTGGCGGCCCGCCTTCCCCCTTCAGGTAGAACAAGCTGGTGCCTTCTGATGCAGAGTACATCTGATCACAATCCGCTCTATGCGCCTTGGCTTTGTGCTGCGGCCTTTGGCAATCTTTTGCCATTGGGGGGTGGCTCCAACAGAGGAATCCCCTCGTTTCGTCACCATCGGACCATGCGGTGTGTGACCGAGGTGGTTTCATCGCCACCTAGTGAACTGTGCAACATGTTCACTTCGTAGCCACAGGCTCAGAAAGGACCCTCATAGCTATAGCGTTTTGACCCTCACGACTCACAACTAGGGTTTTGTAACAAATGCCCGCGCCAAGCGAGCCCTTTTTCTCGGAGGCGGGCGATGTGCACACCAAGCACCACAGCAAACGCCTCACCAAACAGGGCATCTTGGCCAAGTCGCTGGACCGAGAGGACCAGCGGATGATGTGCTCAAGAACATGACGACTGGGATGATGAGGACTTCATGTGGCACATGAGGACGTGAAGAGTGTGAAGTGTTTGATTCCACTTGTGCGTTCTTCACCAGGGGGAAGGCGTGAGGGAAAAGGTGGCTCGCGAAGGGTTTTTGGTGTTTTTTGGACCAAGTTAGACGAAGGAGGTCCGATGGAAGACCTTTGGGGAACACCGGCCGCCGGCCGGGGAGCTATATATAGAGCCGGACCATGGTTCGCACATGAACGCGAAGCGCGGATCGTTCTAAGACCAGAACCAGCAGTGAACTATACACACTCACTGATACATCTTCATACCAAACGTGAGCAAGACAAGCACCTGACAGAGAGGCTCATTTTTCGTGTATGTTACATGTCAGTACTTCATCCCAACCATTCCTTAGTTTTCGATTTGATCCAATCTCAGCAAGAACCCCCCTCAAATTTCATATCACGTGGTTTTTCTTCTGCTTTGCTTCCATTATAGCTTCCCTTTGTAAAGCGTTTGAGGCGGCCCTTCCGAACATTTCAAGTGGGGATTTGACCTGGCCCCCGACCTCCGACCTCCGAATCTCTTGTTTTTCCGGCTCGACGGCTCCTTCAGGCATCATCGTGCGGCGGCCCTGCTTTTTGCTCTTGGAGGTGCACCTCATCGGCGGCTGCCGGCGCCAGGACATCTACCAGATGCGCTCCGTGCGCTCCTTCGCGTCGATGGGCTCGGTGAACTCCTTGTCCTCGCGCGCAGGACCGAGACCGCCGAGCCGAGCCGCGAGAAATGCCGCAAGATGCCGGATGACCACCTCAGACATCATGACAGCGGCAGATGTCGAACTGAATAGGATGGATTCAATATGAATTGTAAAAATTCTAGAATCTTCAAGATGTTTCCTAAAGACTCTTCTTTTTGGTAATGACGCTCTTCTATTCACAAGTTTTCACAAGTCCGGAGATTCTCAACCAAAAAGCTCTTCTTTCTACTCACCGAGATGACCCATATGGCAATACATACCCTTTCGCTTCTTTTCGCTTCTCTTCGCAGGAGCCTATGTCCCTGGCCTGGGCTTGCGCCGGCGCCGCGGCACCAGGACCCGGGTCTTCATGGTGACCAGGCGCGGGTGGCGCATCGCGGTCGCAGCTCGCGGTGCCGGTCGACAGGTGATTGAGAGTGAGATGTTCTTCGAATGAAGGCGAGTGGGTTGTTGGAATCTATAACGGGTTGGTTTGTATCGGAGTTTTTTTGGGGGGAATGGCTGCCACCCATCCTGCGGAAAGGGCCGGCCTCGCACGAAACGCGCGCAGCATTGGGCGCTCGGTGGGCCAGGGGCACTCGTGGAGATGTACAGCCCTTTGTGGCCCTGGCGAGAGGTTTGATCTTACAACACAATTGCATCTCGGTCTGCTGGGGCCAAAATGGGACCTGGAAGCTTGGGGGGGCTTGGGGTTCCTGTCGGAAGGTCTTGCTGCTGGAAGCGTGGCACTGAGGTTAATTGAGTCGAGGAGGGATGTTCGCATAGATCTTACAGCTTCTTCACTGCCCAAAGCACCCTATGAAGGACAGAACACTGAAAGGCTCCTGGTTAGGCCCCTTTCACCTTTCCATACCCTTCCTGTCACTGTCATTCGTCGATGATAGGGTATGATAGGTGAATCAACCCTAACAATCCACTCAAGACCTGAATATTTGTTCCGTGGATGGTCTGAGAAACGAAGCATCCGGGTTCTTCCAAGTGATGCTGATCTTGGATCCCTTGAAAACCGGGAGGCTTTGTATGAAGGCCCACGATTCGTGAACGATCGGACTCCGATGTTGCCCCGGCCGACGGCATCGACGGAGAAAGACCCTTTTGGAATACGTCACTGTGTGTTCTTTTAGAAAACATATGAAAACATATATACCGTATGCGGTATACGATATGTTGCGTGCATGATGAATCATCATGATATCGCAAAAAATCATGTATACTGTATACGCATTTTTGGCCATGCGCAGATTTGCCTTTCCTCTTTGACCTCGTCTCCCGAGGTGAGGTGGTGATTTGCACAGAGCTCTTCGGCTGGACACGGAGCTCGTGATTACGTGGGCGGGAGTTGTTGGAGTCGGTGCTTTTGGCCCGACCATTGGCAGCAAGGACGCGAACCCAACGGGGCAACCCTGGCATCGCGAACTGAACGGAACGGTCGGACGCTAGAGAAGGAACCCGGGTCTTTTAGACGTCATTTTGGTGAAAAAGCTTATAGTCGACTGAGCGCCACGCCAACGTCCACTGGTGACGATGATGTTTCGCCGAGGCTGAATTGGAAAGGCTTCATCAAGAGCTTTCGCGCTGGACTGCCAGACGTGCCTCGTTTGCAAGTGTTTTTGCGACCCCAAAAGGGAGAAGGCGACCCTTCGATGGTTTTCCTGGTGGAACGCTACAGGGCTCCAACTATCTCCGTTCGGAGAATGCTCCCTCGGCCAACGTTGAAATTCGTTGCGAACGGGGGTAGGACTGGGGTTGCTTGGACGAAGCCCGAGTTCGGGCAACGTGGCAATTTAGTGCTCACTCGGCCTCCAAGTCTTCACCCTGGAGAGCATACCCCACTTTCTCGCTTTTCGGATCAACGAGCCTGGCCATTCCGACCCGACTCTACAGGTCCACCGTTCGACCAGGTCGGTCCTTCCCCCTCGACGAGCCTGGCCAGGGTGCATGAACCCGGAACCCGTCGAGGGTGGCGCGCCCTGCGCGCCCTTCCCGGTCGCTGCAGGGCACGCTGCGCTTTCGGCCTTGTGGTGGTGACACCATGGCGCAGACGCGCACGGCTTTGTCGCAGCTCATCACCTGGGAGGGCCAGCACTACGCCGCTTGAGAGAGCTTGGGGGGGGTTGGTGGAGGTTGGTGAGAGGTGGTGTATAGCTATGGAACCCATTTGGACCTGTGTTTTGATAGGAAGTTGGACCATCTTTTGGGTGGTTTGTGGTCCAAAATAGAGGTCATTCAGGTTCTAGGTAGGTGGAAGGGGTAGAGCTTCTTTCTTTCTGGCGCGTCGTGAAGGATGGATGGGGTTGGAGAAAGGTGGTGGGGATTGAAGAGCATCGCGAGACTCGAACTCTAGGCGTGCTTTTCTCGCCAAGGATTTTTTGCAGAGCCTCATCTTCTCTGTGCAAGAGAGGAACTTCTTCCCGTCCGAGGCTATCGATAGTACCAAAGAGAGCTGTGAACTTTTTTGTTATGAAAACTGCAATTGAACGAGCCTGAAATTTTGTATTTCAGAGTGTGATTTCTTGTAATAGATCCACTTGTCATGACCGAGAAATCATGGTTTTGTGATCTGCAATGACCAGCTCTCAGGGATGTTGCTACTTTTGGGCTCACGAAGAGCAGCCTGACTTCATCGTCTTTGGCTTTACGATGTGCCATGTAGCATCTGGGCGGCGAATAGACATATATTCCATCTAAAAAAGACCATACCCTAGAAGTCCAAAGACTATATTTTGACCGGCTGAAGTAAAGGAAGTTCCCGAAATCAGTTCCCCTAGTCAGACCTTTCTTTTTATAGTCCTTGACTCCCAGTTTGTTTTTTAATAGCAATACGTCCATCTCTTTGTTCCGAAACTGGCCAGGCAATGATCTTAGGGGAGGGCTTGCAGATCCCCATTGTGGGCTTCATCTGTCAACCGGACCACAAGATCGAGGACGGTCGAACGTCGGTCGCGCCGATAGCCTCCTTATAGCGATGGCACCACCGTGACTCACAGGCAACAAAGAACAAGTGACTCACAGCATTGCGATGTTTGGCTTTGATGTTCCATTTTTGCCGGTGCAACCGGCGCCACGGACGCAACCGGCGCCACGGACGCCACGGACGCAACGGACGTCCAGACCAGAAAAGAGGTTCGAAAGGTCCAGACCGATGGGTGGCTCTCGACCAGTGTGGAACCGCCGGAAGAGCTGCATGTCTCGAACGGAGTTATTCGCTCTCAAAGTTGGAGGATTCGTTTGCAACCCCCCCGGTACCAACCAGAAACCGTTCTGGACGTTTCCCCGGCCACTTCCGTAAAGGATCAGAATGGCCGGAACAACCATGTCTTATTTGTCTGGGTTTCCAGATGGAAAAACAAACATGTCCGGAGGACGAAAGACGATCGGAGCTCGGCATACCTGGATCTTCCAACATCATGGGTCAGATGTTTTTCGGTTTCTAAGCCTTAAAATTCATCAGTTATTTGTGGAACATCCGGTCCACCACCTGGTCCTATATAGCTTGGTCCGGTCCTGGACCTCACCGGTTGGGTTCCCCGACGCGAGGAGCGTCGGGATATCTCCACGCACTTGGATCGACTTTTAGGTCCCACGCGACAGGCGGGCTCTGTGGGGGGTGGACCGGGTGGGCCCGAAATGGCGTTGGGAGGGGCGTTTTGGCGTTTTTGGGGTCGGATGCTTGGGAAATCCAAGTGTTTTTCACTCATGGAAGATCCAAGAAGAACCATGCAAGAGATCCAGAAAGACACCCAAAAGCAAAACACATGCAGAGAATCCTTGATGTGGTTGACTGAAGCTTTTTCACTTTGGGGATCGGATTTGGGAGGTTTCAGACGTCTGGAGGATGGACGTAGAACAATACGACCGGTTGCCTCACCGGGTTGACGTCCGGCACAGGTGTTGCCAGAAACGTCTGTGAATGTGAAAAGACATGTGAAGAATGAGAATGTTACCAACATCGATGGGCTCAGATTTTTGGCGTTCTCGCCTCGACACGCGATGTCGAGGCGATGAACTCGGAGGGCTTCAACGCCACGCTCATGAGCATTGTACAGCGACTTGGGAGCAGAAAAACGGAGCAGAACAGCATGTCGTGGCGCATAGGGCGGGTGAGAGAGGCACCATGAGTGACCTATGTTCATCCGTTTTCAGATTCTGGGCGGGAAGAAGACTCGTCTAACCAGAGGTATGGAGGTATGGGTGGGGGGGGTTGTGACTCTTGTGACTGTGATATCGATGGGATCAGCATGAGGATCTTGAAAATTCAAACAGGTTAGCGCATTGTTTGGAAGATTTGCCTCCCTCTGGCGCTGTGGAGAGGCAGACGATCGTGCCGCGATCAAGCCAAACTAAGGCAGATGTCCATGCGGGGCGTTGGTGACTGGGCATCAGACGGGATGATTATTTAAAGAAATCACTGGAGGGGTCAGAGGGGTGCGTTAGACGTCAATCAGCGTTTGCAAAAGCAGCTGACGGTTGTTCTCACAGTTGGTGTTCCTTTCTCGGAGAGTTTGCACGCAACATGATCTCCACATTTCAGGCGGATGGTCTCTACCCTGGGAGTCAAGGACTATAAAACGAATGGTCTGACGAGGGGAACTGAAAGGGAAGAATCGGCTCTGGAAGAATCGAAGCGTCTTCGTTCCAAGGTCTGAATCGTCTTCGGAAGACCCGAGGGCTTCAGTTGCTTGGATGGCAAAGCGAAAACGGAAGGAAGGCGTGAATGAATCGTGTCGTGTTGAGGGGTCTCTTTTGTCTTGGGCGTTGCTTGGGAAGAAACATGAAGAAACCAGTGAAGAAACCTTCTCCACCTGTTCTTAAAAGACAACTGAAGAGCCACATGTGATTCTATCCATGAGCAGAAAAACTTCTCAATGAGTTCTCATCCAAATGTCGTTGAAAAGATGGCCCAGAGAGCACAATCCACGCCTTCCATCCACACACACCGCCCTCGTGTTCCCAGGTCCATGCCCGCTGGCCTGTCTGATAGCATGGCTCATTTCGATGAGCTTCACAGGAAAGAGGCGAGTGCAGCGACCGCTCCGGCCGCGGGAGACCGAGTTGTGACGAGGTCCGGACCCAAAAAACACTTGCAGATCGCTTTTCGTGTTTTTGTATGACCTGCACCGTATGAACCTCCATACACCCCCGGACGAAACCTGCGAATAGTTCGTGTTTTTGGTATGACCAACTCTGGGAGGTCATTTTCGGTGAGTTCCCGACCTGTCGGGTCAAGCTTTAAGGCCCCACAGAAGGGGCGTCTCGCGCAGAAGGGGCGATGAGAATCAACGGAAGCGCTGCGCCGCCGTTCTCTTCGAGCCTCTTCGGGTTGGATCGGTGTAGCTTCCGGTTGGATCGGTGGCATCGGACCCCAGGAAGCTACACCTCCTCTCTCTGGGAAGCACACCTGGGAGGAAGCTCCAATGCATCTTTCTCCCAGGAAGAACAACATGCCCTTCTCCTCTCTCTGCATTCCACGTCTCCGCCTTTTCCCGACAGACCGACCGTTTGGACCTCGTTTCGGTGTGTCGGTGTTTTCGGTGCGTCGGGAGGTGCCAATGATTGTGCCCATCAGTCAGATTGCCTTGGGAGAGTACAAAGCGCGGCTTCCGCAGTACATCTTCACCGATTTTATTTTCCTACGATGCTCGGCATGCGCAAAGTCTAGACAGATCAAGACTGTGTGTCTTGAATGCACAAGTTGAGATCACAGCTGTTGTGGAGTGAAGTGCTGGGCTATGTTTTTGTTGAGTGACTTCAACTTCAGCATTTCGAGCGACAACTTCAAATCAGCACATGATCCCTCACATTCCTATAATTATAGGGCTATAATATGGCGACAAGTCCAGAGATGATCGGATCACTTCACACGTTCGTCAACGCATCAACCAGAAGCCTTTCTTTGCATCATTTTGCATCAATATGCCAACCTCGCTGTAACCTCGCGTCGACGAATGTGAGACCGTTGTTTCCACTGTTAGGAACAGAGCAAGACACTCTGGACGAGCCCATATCGAAATTTCTGGCGCAAGCTGCCCGTGCTGGGCGTCGGGTTGTCTTGATCACTTTCTCCTCCATGCCGGTGGGGGAAAGGACCTCCAGTGTGTGAACATCAGGTTTTGGGGTGTTGAAAGTGGGCGGGGTCTGTTTTTTTTGCTGCAAAAAAGAGAAGCAAGAACGGGCTGAAGTGTTCAGGTCTGTCCATCTCGGCACTGGAGAGAAGTCTGGTTTACCAAGTCATGTGGTGTTTGCTCGCCTAGTGATGTTCAGGGGATCTTCAGCAAAGCAGCTTCCGTTCCCCAGCCGTGCAGAAACTTGAAGGGGGCATATTGAATACAAAGACCGCGATCCATGTAATTCCATGTACAACATGGAAAGAATCAAGATTCAATTCGGAGTCTCCGAAGACCATGTTCAATGTCCCCTCAAATACCATCTGATCTACATATATACTATATATAAGTGTATATATATACCCTAGAAGTCCAAAGACTATATTTTGACCGGCTGAAGTAAAGGAAGTTCCCGAAATCAGTTCCCCTAGTCAGACCTTTCTTTTTATAGTCTTTGACTCCCAAGGTATACTGTATAGGAAATCATCAGAAGTCCACCGAATCCGCCGCATGCGTTGCATCGATCACCCACCCTCGCACGGGGTTCGGAGGACGATCCTGGAGATGGCCATCGAAGCGTGCACCTCGGAGCAGCTCCACGGCTGAAAGCGGCCGAAGATCCCGGATCGAGCGGAGACTCCACCCCATCCAGTAACAAGATCCATGATCCATGTTTGGCTGGTACAAATGGTCGATCACATGGCAAACATCTCATTTTCGTATTGCGAAAACAACGCAACAAACATCAAACCAAACAAAAAACACCGTGCACTGCATGAAAAGCACACCTATGGCACTGACCACGCCGTTCCCATTTCCCGACCGACCTGGTTCCCGTCGGGCGAGAGGGCTCGCCGGCTCGGTGGAGGTTAGTGTTCCCTGCCAAGCGCGGCAGCAATGGAACCTCACCGGTGGGTGTGGCCGTGATTGCCATGACCAGCTGGAAGACTCAGTGGGTCGGGGGGGGGGGTATGGTAGGGGGTGGGCAAAATCTGTTTGGCGCCATTTTGTTTTGCAATCTTTTTGCAAGATGGCTATAGTTTTGGACCAAGTAATATTCTCTACCACACGAAACAGTTACGTTGTAACTGACGTTCTCAGACCTACAATCCCGAGTCCAGTCATGACTCACTACTAGCCCCTTAAGTATAGTGGTGGGATGACGTAATCCCCGGGATCAAGCGATGCGCTTCATGAGTCCAAGGGAAGGCTTCCGTTGGACGTTTCCACTGATCAAGCGTTCCATGCGGAGCCCTCGTTCCGCCGAACAGAGCCCAGTGAGGTGGTCAGGATCATGATCCTGCACCGCCGGAAACCATGGCGCAAGTGCAGCAGCTGAGCCAGGTGCAGCTGAGTTTTGTTCAGACGCGGGGTCTGAGAGAGAGATCTGAGCGTTCGGTGGCTGGAATCTGCAGATGGATGGGAAAAGACAGCTCATTGGAAAGAAGAACACCATGGCGCTCGCATGAAGTTCGCTGCTGAAGGGGGATTCCAGGCGTCCCTCTGATTGATTCAAAAAGACACCAACGTTGGGGGTCTTTTTCCTCCACCGATCTCCATCTTCCATCTCACCGTTCGTCGCCCCTATACTCGCCTCTGCAGCCTCGGTACCTCTCGCAGAGAGAATCGCCGTCGTTGGGTGCCGGGAACAGCGACAGCGTCGACAGGAAGGTCGGCTGATGGTGCGGAACAGCGGAGCCTCCTTTGCGGCGCTCTTCCCAAAGTTGGATGCGCTCATCGGACAGGCGCGGGTGCGGTCTTGTGCGGCGCTGGCGCGGGTGCGTGTGGTGGCTGGGTGAGTGAAGGTCTTCTGAGTCGGACGTCCAAATGCTGTATCCATCTTGGGTCTACTGGAAATTCGAGAACTCTCTCTCATGTCATGAGTCATGGTTGTTGTTTTTTCTCGCAAGGTGCCACATGATGATCGCACGAACCGAGCCTCCTTCACGGCTTCACCCCAGTCCCGTCCGAACAGCCGAACGAAAGGATTCACAACCAGCCTCCTTCGTCCTCTCCAGGGTGGATTGGGAGTGACCTCTGAAGCCCTCCGCGCTGGAGTGCCCATCATCACCAGTGGCATCCTGCCTCTTGGGATGCGTTTCGTTGCCGCGTTTTGTTCCATCCAAAGGGGATGTCTGACAGAAGAAGCGGGAAAAGCAGTGGTTCAGGGTGGTTGTCGTTTGGGCGAAGTCACCGGCTCATACCAGATCCAGAAATGCTATAGACTTACTTGATCATCTTGATCGATTCTAATGATAGACTCCATATCAAATGGTCTAAAATCAGTGCCTGGTTGTCCAGAGGGCAACCACGTAGAAAGAAGGACCAGCCGGCAGCCCAGGCTGCTGGATCAAAGATGGTGGGCTGCGCGTGTGGCGGAGCTGGGCTGCGGCTCGAAACCGGTGAAGGCGCGAAGCGTCTCAGAGGCTTCGCCCAAGCTCCGGCTCTGTGGGTCAAGACCATTTCCATATCGAATCCGGTGGAACGGCTATAGAATCCGGTGGAACGGCCGGCCCGGCGCAGCGTTTCAGCCAACCAACCCACCGCCCGTTGTCCCCCCGCGTGGACACCCACCGCGCCGACGCCGACGCCGACGCCGCGCCAGGTCGATCGGCTTTTGAACTGGGACCATTCGAACGACTCCACACGCTCCTTGGCCCGGTCCGGCCCCAGTCCCGGCAACATCGGGACGGGTCAACGGAAAGGTCCTGCTTTTCACCCACAGGTGACATGGATTTGTTGTGAAACAAGCCTTGGTAAGAAGCTTAGCTTGGAGAAGTTGGAACTTGTAAAAGCCGTGAGGTTTCCAAGGAAAGCACGTGCGGTTTGCTTATCTCATGAAGCATGCATCTGTTGGTTTGACACATGTTGAGACTCAAATCATCTCACATTGACAGGCCTAACAGATCAATCATCCAGCTTTGACTCTCTCTTTCAGCTGTTTTTGGAACCATAGACATATCATGACATATCCACCACCCACAGGCTGGTGATTGGACAATGCATCTTCGGTTGCATGGTGGGACCCAAAAGCCGCACCAAAGAGGTTTGGTGAAGTTGCTTCACATCGCCTTGGACACCTCTGAGGAGGAGATTGAAGAGCAGGGGGTTGGGACGAAAGATGACCAACACAAAAGACCTGAAAGCATCTGAAAACAGGTCTTTTCAACCATCTCCACTGATTTTGGAGAAGCTCACTCCTCGGAGTGCACATCTCGTGGCCTTTAAGCACGGTTCGTCAGGTGATCCAGAAGGCACGGTCACCGAGGAACGCCTCGAACGCGGCCAGGACAACTGGACACTCCGAGCCAAACAGGTGCGACCCGCGGCGCGGCGCGTGGCGCGGCGCTGCGGGTCGGGCTGAAGCACCGCGGTGCGGCGTTCGGTCACCGGCGGCCTCATGAGGTGAACTTGCGAATCTGACCTCATCCATGTGGGTTTTCAGGACATACAATGGAAGAGGCCAATAGATGGATCTGGGAGGATAGATTCATAGCTTCAAGTTCTCCAGGTCAAGTCGATAGAACGAAAACAGCTCCGTCTCAGGTCCTTCCGGTGGCACCTCAGTAGTTGGACAGGTGTTTGTTTGGATCACCCATGGATCACACAAAATCTTTTGGGTCTTGCTAATAGCGATCACCTCCATCCTAGTAGCTTCTTGCTATACCATCCGGTTGTTTGGGTGTCTCTTTCACCATGACTGCTGGCATTAGCGGCCCCTGCGCTGCCTCGTTTCATCCCTTTGCGCCGACTGGACGCATTAGATGACCCGCGTCGTGAGGTCTCCGCGCAGATCGCCCATGTGGCCATGCACGATCCTGATGGCGTGCTCCGCAACGCGCAGGCGCGGAGAGCGGAGTGATGCGGAGTGCTGAGAAGGAATGAGGTGAAGGCGGCTAAGTGGACGCCTGACCGGATAGGCTTGCAGGTCATTTTCCAGACAAGGAAGGATCAGAAAGGGCTGAATTGGCCTCCCTTGAACCCTTCCGTGTGACTCATTCGGTATGGCAGGCAGGAATTGGGACTTTTGCACTGTGCGTTTAGACTAGCCATTGGCTCGAAGGCAGTGACCCACCGCGTGACCGAGGGTTCTCCCAGCGACTCGTGTTGGTTGAGATACCTGGATCCAAAACGTCGGAAAGGTCGAGCGAAAAGGAAAAAATTGGTACTAGGAATGGCCCGCCTCGAAAAGCTAAAAGCGAGTGGCCTCCAAGCTAAGATCAATATGAAAAACAACCAATTGCTCTTTAAAAGGAAAGAATCAACGTGATCTTTGCTCGCTCTGCAGGAGGTCTTTACGAAAGGCACGTCCCAATCGGTGATCTTAGAAGACTGCTACGAGGAGAACCGGCCACTTGCTTCGCAGAACCGACGTCGCAGTGACCGGTTGCCACTCGGTTCTCCCCCCCGGTCCGCCGGGCGCGAGCGCCGTCGCGCTGCACTCACTCGGTGCATCTCCAAAGTCCAGCACTCACTGGGTTCATCTCATGTGACATGTGAGTTTTCATGTGACATCATGTGACACGTGACATGTTTCATGCTAGTGGTGAAGCATGACTATACTCAGTGGGGTATACAATGTGGCACGTACTGACACGGAGGTTCTGGGAGGGACCGAAAGTCTTGATCCAAAAGCTCGCCGCAACGGAAGTTTCCCTATAATATATAAGATGGCAAACGAATAGTGCGAGGGCGAGGGCTAGAACAAGAACAAAAAAGAAAAGAGACGATGTGCGACCGAACTAAGCGTCTAAGGGATTGCTGCTCCTGCATTGCTCGACAAGCCAGATGCTGCTGCCGCTGTATCGAGAGATGTCTCCGCCTCTTGGAATAAATGGTTGTTTTCCGTGTCGGGACACGGCAGCGAGCGGCAGGACACGAGCGATTTTTCTTTTATACAGAAGTGCGCTGTGGAATGTCATGGAATGTCTAGAAGAATCACAATTAATAAGTAATATATATATATATGATCGATACTGGTATAATATCAGACGGTGGGTTTGCAGAAGAAAGGTGAAAGTGGTAACCTACAAGCCAGGTTTGCTTAGCTTGTCTTCTAATCAGAAGGCGTTCCAGCTCAGTTGAGTTGGGTCCGCCGTTCAGCTGAGGTTGTATCTTCTTCATGAACGTCCCCACACTGCTCTATGTCTTTCTCTTGTTGCTCGACCGATGTCAAAGAAACCGCGTGGCATTGCAGTTCGTTGGGCTGTTGATTGCTGGGGAAAGACTTGAGAGAGGAGGGGGTGAACGAAAGGTAGCAGGCAATCACAAGTAATCCTGGTAGAAGTCCATGATGGCGTGACCCGGCGCAGGGGGGATTTGATCCAGGGCGGCCCCCCCCCCCCAACGAACAGAATCATTTCTTACAGGACCAAATTCAATGCACAATCCCAGATTGTAATACATTTTTGCTAAAGCAAGGAGAACTCAGGTAGCTCAAGCTACCTTTCGTGATCTTTTATACAAACGGTTTCATCAAAAAACATGATTTAAAAAGTGACTTTAAATAGCTTGATGCGGTCCAACACCAAGGCCGTTCGTCTGAGTTTCTTCATGTGTTTTGCCGGCGAGGGATTGGCCAATCCGTCATTGCAGCATTGCACCTGCCCGGAGCAAAAAAAGTTTCTGTGCTTTGCTTGCTTTGCTCTCAAAATTAACAGTCCAACGATTTAAAACCCGGAGCTTTACACACCCTAAAAAGTACCCTGGGACTATTTTTTGTTGGTTTTGCGGCTACAAATTGGCAGCGGCAGCGGCGGCAGGTTGCTGAGCGAGGTCTTCTGCTGCGGCCCCTGCCGTCGCCGATGTCGCTGTCGGTCGAAGAAGGAGCAGGCCGAGCGGGATGGACACGTCGACGCGTCCGGTGTCGACCGGTGGATTCCAAAACGGGTCGACGACGTGTTGCGACGTGTGACGTGTGGATTTGAAGACATCGACGCAGATCGATGCCAGTTCTTTTGATATGGAGCAGAGTGCAGGTGTTTTCACAGAGTGCAGAGCCAAGAGTTGCCATATCGAGAATTATTAAAACGAGATGCTCATCGAGTGGTTAGGTTCTTTCAGATAGATATCTCGCCATGCCCTGCGCAACCTCGATTCGAGCGCGAGCGTTCGCTGCGTGAATGAAAAAGGTCTCCAAAAAGGCGCCCTTCGCGGACTTGGAGACCTCCAAAATCCTCCAAACACGTCCAATCTTCACCCAATGCTGCTCCAAGGCCCGTTGTTTTAACCCTTCAAAAAAGGCTCCAAAACCGCTTGAACTGCTCCATCCCGAACCACTCCAAAACTGCGCCCCACCGCAGAACCACTGACCCGCCGTGAACACCGTCCACCCGTCGCAGATGATGGAGAGCGGCGAGGAATCGACGGAGGACGTGTCAGGTGACTCCTCCAGCGACGAGTCCAACGCTCGGCCGCGCGGGTGCAGCGAGTGGGGTTCCAAACCATCCCGGTGGGTCGGTCCTGGGTGGTGGGGAGGCTCATTTGGAAGGCTCATTTTGGGGTCATTCAGTTCATAGTTCATGGATGTTGTTCAAACAGTTTGAAGAACTGGTGCTTTTTGGTTTGGTTTGGGAGCACGTAGTGTAGATGACCAGAAGGCTGTTTTCTTGAGTAAGCTTCCGTGTCGCGCCAGCCTGGTCAAGGATGACAGTCTACAGGATCCACCCTTCATGCAGTCCGTTCTTTGCAAGACTCCGTAGACTTCATCTTGTTTGTCATAGTACCCTTGACATCTATAGGACGATAGCCAGACTAACTTTTGGGCTTTCAAGAAGTGTAATAACTGCTTTGAAGTGCATGCAAGGTGTGCTACCCGACCAAAGTACAAAGGCACAGTGAGGCACATGCCAGCAGAAAGAGAAACGCGGTGCATTCAGCGTTCATCTCCCGACGTGTTCATGGATTCTGTGAACCTTTTGTCGTGACACAGTCATTGAATCGTCTTATGTTTCATGAAGACTGCAGATGACTTCAGGAAACCTATATAATATTACATATATGGAATGGACATATATCTGTTGTACTTGCTATATGTCATGGCTGCAGATCCTTTGACCTCACCAGGTCACCCCCCAGACCTATCACCGGCCGATGCACCAAGGCTTCCGCGCGACTCCCGTGGATCCTTGGGTTCCTTGCACCCGTGGTCCCCCGTGAGGCGCCTTCCGGACGCGCCGAGGACGCGCCGAGCGCCGAACGCTTTCGCGCCACCGCTGCGCTGTGCTTTCGCGTCCGTTCACCATCCGGTTTGTTCGCGCGGCGCGTTGCCTGGAACACCGCGGGCGGAAAGGGGTGTGTTACTTAGTGTTGCTTAAGCACATCGAACGCATGTTGCTTCTGTCGACCGGTCCTTCAGGTCGTGATGGGAACGGCGCCGCGAAGGCGCCGTGAGCCAATGAACCCCCGCGAGGCGTCCCAATCCGTGTCTTCCGACCGATGAATGTGTAGAGAGAGTTCAATATTGTTCCATCTATAATTGATTTATATATACTAGTTTGATTAACTTAATGATTCTGATATGTCTTGTAATTGCTTGGGATCAAGGTACTTTTTCTGATGGATTAAAAGCTTGATTTATGATGGTTCATGGAGTCTTTTGGGCAAAATCCTTGGAGAAGTGGTGGAGACACGATTGCTGGGGAGTCTCGGACGTCTATTTCTTGTGGATAAAAAGAGTCGGCTGGCGTCTTGCAGATATCGCAGCTAGTAACTACTGAACTTGGACAAGTCAAAGATGTGTGGGTAGGAACGATCGGACGCTACGAACGGAGCATGTCGGGCATCGCGACGAACGGGGCCTCCTGGGCATCGCTAGGAACGGAGCAATGGGTTTCGCTAACGATGGTGTTCGTGTCGACGCTCCGAACATCCTCTCCACGAGCTCCGGCGAACAGTTCCAGTGCTAAATCGACACGCCGAGACTCGTGGAGAGATTCTACGACCGATACCGATCACAGGAGTGGCTCAAGGGTCATTCGCTATTCCCAGTGGCTCACGTGTGATTGGAGCTGGAATAGCAATGGGCAGAATGGCTCCCATCCGTTCACTGTTGCTCGGCAAATTCCCTGCAATCTTCTTAGCAACAAGTCAATTCAAATGTTGACAAGAGTCTCATGTAGAGTAGCCTTTGCCTTGCCACATCTTGCCACAAGGCTCTTGATTCTCTTCATGGGTTGCTCCATGCAGTGCTTCTTGCAGACCATGCCAGTGGAGAGTCGCGTGGCCACCATGGCCAAGAAAACGAGCAGTTTGGAGCTAAGGTTTATCTCTCAACAGACGCATGCTTGAGTGTCCCCAATGTGTTTTTTGGATCCCTCTTCTGACCACTTCATCCTTCAGGTGATAGTGGAGACTTGGTACCTCCAAAAAGACCGGGTACTGCCTACATGGGTTGCTTGGCTGACGTTCTGTGTATGCCTCATGCATTCTGCCATGATACGAGCCAAGATGCCAAGATTGCACGCTCTTCAAGTCCGAGGTTGGTTGAAGGACAACCGGGCAAGCATTGTGAAGAAGGTAGGCACGAACTCCGTGACAGATGTTGCCAAGGAAGCCGGCAAACAGTGGAAGGCACTCTCAGCTGCCAAGAAGAAGCCGTATGAAATGGCATACGCCAAAGCCAAGGCTGTCTTTGACAAGGAAATGGCGGCCTTCAAAGCAGCAGGGGGCGTTGTACAAAGGAAACAAAAGCGCGTTTCCAAGAAGGCTGCACGAGATCCTAACATGCCAAAGAAACCCTTGTCTGGCTACCTCTTGTTTATGGCAGACAACCGTGCGAAGATCGTCAAGTCTTTGCCCAAAGACCACAAAGCTACGGAGGTCATGAAAGAGGGAGGTGCACAGTGGAACAAGCTGACAGCTGCTAAGAAGAAGCCATATGAGTCTTAGCCGCACTGTGATCGTGCCTGTGTATTCAGTGGAGTGAATTCGTTTTCTACTTTGCGGTGGAGAGCATGTGAGAGCACTTTCACAGTCAAGCTACATGGATTCCGAGAAAGCCTCAGGGTGTTAACAATAAACTTCAATAAACATCAAATTTTTTTTATCAGCACCCACCAAGGAGACAAAGGCTGCTAAGCTGAAGGCTGAGTATGTCGATCCGTGTCTTCATTTGGAACACTTGTGCATCTCTTTATTCTTTAGAAGACTCGTATCTACCCCGTTCTCCTATTGTGTTGGATGTGTTTGGTACTTGAACTGACATGTCAGCTCCAGCACTCAGGAAAAGATGGAAGCCTACAAAGCCTCCCTATGATGCGTTATATTGTAATAGAGTGGCGAGCAGGGGTATGGGTGACCCTGGTAAAAGCACAAAAACATCTTTTGGCAACTACTTTACCTGAAGTCCTATAGAATCAAGAATTGTGGTTTCCAAACACTGCAGAATATGCCACTTCTTCAATGTCGCCAAGACATACTTCAAAGCTGGGCCCCAGCTATCCCCAGCTTTTCTGTCTTGTGCCATCAATGTCCCTAATTTGTCGCTGACAGACGATACAAACAGGATCATCCGAGACGTTCCCACCAGATACACAGCCGCGTGGTCTCTCCACGCTGTGTGGGGCACCTGGTCTCTCGTGTGAAAAAAGAATCGCCCGCTGAAAGGAGAGGAGAGGATCGTGTCTGAAAGCACTGGCCTCCAACCTAAAGAATCGTGTCCCTTTTCTGGTTTGCGCCAGATGTTGAAGATCCCTGCCACCAGGTGCCTGGCTCAAAGCACTGCTCACACTCAGCAGGTCTTGACCTCCGCAGAAGCGGCTCAAGGGTCATTCGCTATTCCCAGTGGCTCACGTGTGATTGGAGATAGCAATGGGCAGAATGGCTCCCATCCGTTCACTGTTGCTCGGCAAATTCCCTGCAATCTTCTTAACAACAAGTCAATCCAAATGTTGACAAGAGTCTCATGTAGAGTAGCCTTTGCCTTGCCACATCTTGCCACAAGGCTCTTGATTCTCTTCATGGGTTGCTCCATGCAGTGCTTCTTGCAGACCATGCCAGTGGAGAGTCGTGTGGCCACCATGGCCAAGAAAACGAGCAGTTTGGAGCTAAGGTTTATCTCTCAACAGACGCATGCTTGAGTGTCCCCAAAGTGTTTTTGGATCCCTCTTTTGACCACTTCATCCTTCAGGTGATAGTGGAGACTTGGTACCTCCAAAAAGACCGGGTACTGCCTACATGGGTTGCTTGGCTGACGTTCTGTGTATGCCTCATGCATTCTGCCATGATACGAGCCACGATGCCAAGATTGCACGCTCTTCAAGTCCAAGGTTGGTTGAACGACAACCGGGCAACCATTGTGAAGAAGGTAGGCACGAACTCCGTGGCAGACGTTGCCAAGGAAGCCGGCAAACAGTGGAATGCACTCTCAGCTGCCAAGAAGAAGCCGTATCAAATGGCATACGCCAAAGCCAAGGCTGTCTTTGACAAGGAAATGGCGGCCTTCAAAGCAGCAGGGGGCGTTGTACAAAGGAAACAAAAGCGCGTTTCCAAGAAGGCTGCACGAGATCCTAACATGCCAAAGAGACCCTTGTCTGGCTTCCTGTTGTTTATGGCAGACAACCGTGCGAAGATCGTCAAGTCTTTGCCCAAAGACCACAAAGTTACAGAGGTCTTGAAAGAGGGAGGTGCACAGTGGAACAAGCTGGCAGCTGCTAAGAAGAAGCCATATGAGTCTTAGCCGCACTGTGATCGTGCCTGTGTATTCAGTGGAGTGAATCCGTTTTCTACTTTGCGGTGGAGAGCATGTGAGAGCACTTTCACAGTCAAGCTACATGGATTCCGAGAAAGCCACAGGGTGTTAACAATAAACATCGAACTGTTCATCAGCACCCACCAAGGAGACAAAGGCTGCTAAGCTGAAGGCTGAGTATGTCGATCCGTGTCTTCATTTGGAACACTTGTGCCTGCTTGAAGGCTTGAACATCTCTATATTCTTTAGAAGACTGTGTTGGATGTGTTTGGTACTTGAACTGACATGTCAGCTCCAGCACTCAGGAAAAGATGGAAGCCTACAAAGCCTCCCTGTGATGCGTTTTCTATCGTAGAGTGGCCGGTACGCAGGGGCAGGGTCAGCAGCTCCACTGGGCTCGGCTCAAGCGGTCAAGCCGTGGTTTGGTTCTTCACAAGAAAGCTGCGGGATTGATTTCGTGGTCTGGTACCATGATGTTTCCGTTCCGTTTTTCTCCGCTTTCATGTGCCCCTGCGAAAAAGCTGTTCGCATTCTCTATATATATAATTTGTCAGTCGACAGAACTTCGCCAATGAGTTCATAGAGTTCCGAATGATCGTGTGAAGTGCACCTCGAGGCACAGTGTTCGCTGCCCGTGGGCTGGTGCACCCAAAAACGATCGCGGACGAGGGGAAAAATGACCGAACTTGGGAGGTCTTCACTGGTCGGTTGGTGAAACAGATGGCGAGACGGCCATCGCATCTCACACCGCCGTGGGCGTCGCCGCGTATGCCGTCGTTCTGCCTGCGCACCACCGAAGCTGTGTAGCAGTTTTGGACGCCCAAACGCCGCAGAAAGCGACCGACCATCAACCGAAACCGCCGACACAGCGACACCGTGGCCTGACCGGACAGCACCGACCGAGCGGAGCCTGCGCCACACGATCGACGGAGGGTGCGCCATGGCCGCGGCGGCCGGGAAGCGTGCGTTTGCTGGAGGCGGTCCCAGGAGAGACGGCCCACCAATTTGGGCCGTGCTTGAAGCTGATTCCGAAGCAAGCAAAACGACCGGGGGAGATGAGCAACAACAGGGATTCGGATGGTATTTGTTTCCCGGTTTCATCACTTGGACCCTCCCCATGGGACTGCCAGACACGAGTCTGGGGACTGCCAGTCCGGACTGCCCTCAGGCGGGGGTGGTTGACTGGTCGTGCCAGACAGGTCGTGTCTGGGATAGAGCAATTCCAACAGAGGTGGGTCAGGACCCGAACGTTCGACTATCCCAGTTCGGTACCCCAGGAGTTCCGGGTCCGAACGTTCAGGTCACTTAACCTGTCGACCGGTTCCCTGACGCAGATTCTGCTCGTCCTTGCGACCGGTCCGCTACCCGGACGGGTCCGTCGCACTGCTCCGCAGGATTGGCGAGACGGGGAAGTTCGAGGGCGAGCGGGGGCTGCAAACGGGTTCAGGTGGATTCGTGGCGAAGGACGGAAAGGAACATGTTTCGACCAGTCCGAAGTCAAAAGGGACATCGAACTCATGTGTTGTTTCCCAAGTCAAAAGCATGTTCCATGGAGTTGGGTGCTGAACTCTAAGAGGTTAGTAAGGAACCCCCCTGTCCCAGACCACTCACTTGGGAACTCCAGACCATCCAGCTGCAGACAGCCCAAGGTTCAAAGTCCAAAAGGCCGCGCCCTACATCAAACATCGCCTGGAGGCCGCCGGAAACAGACCGCATCCGGTCTGTTTCCGCCGACGCCGCGTGGATCACGGGGACCGCGGAACAAAGGGCCGAACAAAGGTGTGTACCAGGACCATGCGACTTTCCGAGTGTCCTGGCTGGAGCGATTTGCATTGGACACCCATTGGATGGTCCAGGTATTATATACTTAGATCTTCCAACTGCATGTGCAGAATTTCTGCCTTTTGGCAGGTATATGTGTTGTCCTTTCGTCAGACTCTTCCCTCAACACCGAATTTGGCTAAACCCGCTCCGTCGCCAGGTCTGGGACAAGCTCTATGCAAAGTACACGTCAGGTCTCTCCGGAAAGCCCCGAAAAGACATCAAGGCAGGGCCGCAGGACCAGTAAAACAGACTCAGTTGATCAGCATGGATCAGCCGAATTCCTCGAAATCGCGCGAGGATCAGCCCTTCATTGCGAGTTTCAACCTTTGATAGTATTTGATAGTCGAGTTTTTCAGATCAAAAGTACCTGGAAAAAAGAGAAGGTCAAGACCCTTGCCAGTTTTTTCGCAAAAAAACAACAATAAGAATCCCAAGTCCATCCATTTCCCTTCCTTTCTGCGCCAGATCGAGCTCCCAGATGGCACGGTGAAAGATGGCAAGGCGAGATGATGTGAGACGAGAAGAACAACGAAAAGACAAAAAAAACACGAAAACAGCACTTCCTCGTCTCTTTCCCCATGGGATCATATCATATCACTCGCGGCGCGTGTGTTTTCACAGACCAGAGGACTCACCAGATCACACGAGATGAGCAGCGGCTTCGCCGCCTTCGCCTACCCAAACCGGGTGAAAAGGACCCACGACCCGGCCGTGACCTGCCCAGGCCTTCGAGACAAGCCCCATGGATATCGCGCGGCTCGGTGATGGAGTCGCGCTGCAACGAAAAGAGCGGAACGGTTTCTGAGAAATTGCCAGCGACATGGGAAACACCCTGAGCCCTGGCGCATGCCGGCCTGTTTGCAGCAGGCCGAGGCAGCCGACCGCCGAGCGCCGAATGCCGCGGAACGCGTCCGAGGATGTCGATTTCCAAAGGCTTGGCCGAGTCCGCCATCGTGGCCAAGGCCGGCGACGAGCTCGCAGCGACATGGAGAGGAGTAGCTTAGTAGCCATAAAAACACGAGGAGGTCACATCCAGAACGTGGCAAAGACTTCAATATGGCGTGAACTTTTTGGGTTTGATAGAAATGGATTGTTTAGAGGTCAAACTGCATGGCCATATGATTTTTCAAGTGTGCAAAATGTCGACGTGTTCATCTATCAAAGCAAAAAGATATAGAGTTGTGCATTGTGGGAAGATATATAGATACATAAAAAAGAACTCAATTCTTAAAGTTCTGAAACAGATTTGATGATCAAACCAGGAAACAAAGGGATTTGTTGGCGTTTTTCCAGGTGGCATACTAAGCACATCTAAGCACCTAAGCTGTACAACCTCCAACATCCCTCCAGCGGTTCGAGCAGATTGATACCCGTTTGGTCGACCGTTTGGGTATGGACGATCCCGACAAAGAAATTGACACAACAGAGTGATGTTCATAGGGTTGCCCCAAAGATGTCTCTTCCGATGAGAGTCATGCACATGGTAATCGATGAAATCCGAAGAGCCCCGCACAGACCGCACAGGTGATCTACAAAGAGACGGTGGAATCGCTGAAACAATGTGTGGTCGCAGACATTGAGGAGGCGCATGCCGGATCTTTGCACGTGGGCGCTCCCAAGCTTGATCAACCGGTTTAGCCGCTGAGAATGATTTTTGTGGCTTGAAAGATGTCTCCAAAACATGGGAGCCTTTCGGACGCTACGAACGGGGCTCCTGGCCTTACTACTATTGAACGATCGGACACGAACCGAACGGGACGTCACAGAATTGCGCTTGAGACGAGTTGCGTCCAGATGTGTCCAGATGTCGAGTCTCCCAAGAACGCTTGGCCGGGCGTGTGTCTTGTCGTTCGTCCCTCTCCGGGTTTGCTGCCCGAGCCGGTGGTTTTGGCGTCTCCAGGATGAGCTGGAGGTGGATGAGACGAGTGTGCTTTGGGACCTCACGAGGCCCCGCCGAAATTGCAACATCATCTGCCTGGTGACGTCCACTGTTAAAGCATACGTAGCAGCGTACAGTAACAAGTCTCTATAACTACCAGGAGTCACAAAGGGGATCAAAGGGGTGCCGAACTTGGAGGAAGTCGGGGTGCCCCTGTCACATCCACTCACTGGCTGGGACCAAACACCACCCCGTCTTGGGAGATTAATCTTCTGTGGCGCATCCGTCCGGGTCTCGGTCGAGACGTCTCCACGAGGCCTTTGGAAGGCAGTTGCCGCATGGAACTTCTGAAGTTCGATCATCCCCAGGGCCAGGCGCTGCGCTGCACGGCGCTGCACCGCGCGCATATGCCGCGCTCTCCCGCGTTTGGGCTTCGTGCGGAGCATTCACTCCCCTCGCGTGGGGTGACGGACAAGTGCAGTGACCTATATAGGGCGATATTACTTGGATTTAGATGTTTTTACAGTCACAGAAGGGGCTTCGATCTTCCAAAATGGGCTGTAAAAAAGGAACCATGCAATTGCCACCTGTGAATCCCTTCAGCGAACCTTTGAACCACCACAAGCCACCTCCAGCAATGACTCATTTCGTCAAGAGTGGCATGATGTGGTATGATTTTTTCAGGAATTGGGCGAAGCAAAGCGATAGAGAACGCTCAAAAGCAAGAACGTTCCCTAGAGATCCAAGTACCTTGGTACCTTGCCAGAAGGTGATTGGAAACTGTTTATGTCGGTTTGGAGGGTCCAAGTACCTTCTGAGGACGTACTTGGATCCCTAGGGGTTGCTAAATCATATGTTCGTCTACTTGACAGGACGTTTTGGCAGACGTTCATGTGGCACCGTGCACTGTCGGCAGGATGTCTTTTGGCACTCCAGCGCCCACATCCTTGGTGCTGCACCTGGCTCGACGCGCGACACGCGACCACACCGCGCCGCGCCGCCACGTAACAAAGCGACCCCCAGCGCAGAGGGCAGGACTCGAGGTGCGACATCCTTCCAAGATCCGTCTCTTTGAGGGTCAGCGTGTGCGTGCATTTGTCATGTCAGTGATGTCATGGCTCGCCACGATGCGTCAAAGTTGACGAAGGTCTCTTCGAAGGTCGCAACCCTCTGAAGTGGGGTGAATAAATGCAATCTTTGAGAACTCTTGGGAGTTTGTCACAAATCTTTGGTCGCCAGAATCGTCTCACTAAGCCGTCGCATCCCCCAAGTCTTCGCATATACATACTGCATCTCCTTGGCTCAGTATTTCGTGCCCTCTGTCCCTAAAGGGGATCCAGAGAAGTTTCACAAAGATTGAGCACAAGAAGCACGTCAGCAGGCTTGCAATAACTTGCAGATACATGTCGGGCACAAAAGAATACAATCCCAAAACAAATCAAATATGCAGGCATGTGTGGCCGTGACTGTTTTCACTTCCAACTATCTCATACGTAACAGAAACACATACAGGATTAGACAAACCCAGAACCAGCTGTACTTCCACCTGTACTTCCACCTCGTTTTGGTCACCTTTCATCCACATACAAACTCAAATAGATCTCCGTTCTTCACACCTCATGAACCCACAGATCCACATGGATTCAAGAAAGGAGCGAAGGAGCGAGTTCAGCTGACGCCCTTGGCATCGGCACCGCCGCACCGCACGTGGACCGAGTCATGGCTGAGCCTGGAGTCTCGCCTCAGGCGACCTTGCTGCCGGTGGCAGGCGGGACCGAAGCGAACATCGGTCTTCTCCGGTGATTGACTGGTCAGGTGCAACAAGAGGTCTGAACAGTTTTGGAACAGGAAGATCAAGTTGTGTTTTCCACCAAAGGTGAGTTGTGAAGAGTCAGAAAGGGTCATCTGAAGGAGCAATTTACTTGTTATTTCTCCTTAATATATCGATACCCTACCCAAGTATAGATACCAAAGCCTTAAAGTCACCTCCCAAAGCCCAAACCGAGTGTGTTCTTCTCTAGCCGAACCGAGAGGCTATGATCCCTTCCGGCTCTACTTTGATGTCCCCGTCTGGGGTGGCTGGAGAGAACTCCGAGATCCCATCACTCAGAGAAGTCCCGCGGATGAGACCGGAAACGAAACGCCGGACGCGAGGGATTCGCCCAGCAACAAGTTGGCACCCCGAAAAACACCGGGTTTTTGGATTTGTTTGATGTGTTCATGTTGTCCACTGAAGTGCCGGTGCCCATTGTTCCTTCCTTCGGTTTTCGCCCAAAAACGTCGAAACTGGGGTAGAAAATGCATCGACTCTTAAGTTCGAGCAGCCGTTCGTGGGAAGACCTTCACCCTTGACCACCGTGGCGATCATCCAATGCAAATCCGGTGACATTCGTTGCCTCTTCGGCCAACACAGCTCGGGCCAAGGATATTGGAACAATGTGAATTCCATGCTGATGACCTGGAGTTTAGTAGACCCTTGGCTGCCACTAGTCATCACTCTAAGCCTCATTGCCCAGCTGCAGCTTCTGCTGCTCTGCGGCGTTTCCTTCATCTTCGTTCATTGCAAGAGGGAGACACGTCCTCCACGTCCTCAACATCCAAACGTTCAAACGGTCCACCGTGGAAAACACGACATGGAGCGGTCTCGGTCTCTGGGAGAGTTGGAGTCGGATCGCGAGCGGCGGTCAGGGCAGTGTTTGTTCGTATACTGAATCTATGGGCCCCCAATCGTACCTTCTGAGAAGGTGTTTGGGGTGGGTTTGGAGTGTCCAAAATACCTTCTGAGGAGGTACGACTGGAGCCCTGGGGAGGGATATCGAGGGAGCCAGATTCAAGGCGAATTGAGCATGGACTCCTATGACGATGAAAAGACTCCTATGATGACATCATGCATGGTTGTGGCCCACCACAAGAGCGATTTCTCCACAGACACTGGCTAGCCATGTTCTGATCTTCTCGTTACTGTTCAATCTATCGGGAGTGACCATGATGTCACGAATGATTCGTCGAATCGGTGAAGCTTCAGGAGCTCATTCGACTCAACGGTTTAGAAGAGTTCCTGCTCTTGGGCAGCTCGGCGGAGGGGAAGTGGCCCTCCTGAATCCCATGTGGCGAGCAGAAACGACGGCCATTTGCTCTTCAATGACGAACTGGAGAGGAAAAGAACAACGTTTTGCCAAGTCCTCCTCATGGTAATTGTTCATCGGTCCGCGCGAAATCGCGAGATCTCAAGGTGATTGGCAGCTCTTCTCAGTCGTCCCCGAGAAGATGGAGGCGGGCGAATGCGTTTTCAGGGCAGAACGACAACGGTCCTGCCACTATGTTCTGAGCAGTTGAGATCTCAACCAGGTTCGAACGTGGCGAAATGCTGTGAAGCATGCAATCTTCTGACAAATTCATGTCAGTTGTCTATAGTTCCTGGTTCGTTCCAAGCTGGAGGCCAGAGGGCTTGGTTCAGAATGAGACTGAGCAAATCGGAATTTCGGGCTGAGTGAGTGACTGTCGCTGCCGACTGTATCACAGCGACCGTCACTCCAATGTCGACGGTGTTTTCAAAACACCCTTTCCAGTCATCCCGAAGGATTCCTCTCGCTGGACAGTTTCTGTTTCGGGGGCGGTCTTTGGTGTCCATGTCTCACAGTGAACTCCAACAACGTTCGTTTGACCTCTTGGAACCCCCCAACAAAAACAGCTTCGACCCTTTTCCAAGCCGTCTTCAGGAGTATGAAGATCCCAATTTCCACCTCCACGTCTACAGCAATCCAGATCTCTCTGGCGAGCCGCCCCTCGACCGAACGACCCGCTGTGCGGCGACCCAACGGCCAACTTGTGGCTATAAATCGATCTATAAAGACCAGACTGGATCGGAGTTGATCTAAGGAGTGTTCATTGAACATGTGGTCGATTTTCCGCTATACCTGAGCTTTCTCAGGTTTGAGAAGTTAGGGATGGCAGGGCTCTTGGAGTTGAATCCTGACTTCCACCGAAGGATTTCCGGTGAAACACGGGTCTCCACGCGGCCTGTCTCGTCTCGTCTCGTCGAGAAGAAGCCGAGCGAGCTCGTCGTGAGGATCTTGGACTTGAACTCTGGAGATGTGGTGGCTTCTGTGAACCTGCCGAAGCCAGGAGCGGCGGCAAGCGCTTCCATCGCTTCCATCGCACTGGACAGATCGGGAATTCAGATCTGGAAGATAGGGGATTAGGAGGAGAAAAACCGAACACTATAAGCGGCGAAGTTTCGTGGGTGAAATGAGTTTTCGCAGAGAAATGGAGATATCTCTTCAACTCTGAAGATGTCTCCAGACTCCGCGTCTAGACATTTGCAATAATAAGGCGAACCGGTCCGTTTTGTTTTCGTTCATTGGAAGTTCCAGGTGCACTGGGGAGGCGCACCAACGGGCGCCACGGCGCGGCACTCGCGTTCTGCGAGGCATTAGCGAGATTCTTCTGCCGGACGTGGATGCCATCATCAAGTCTGGCTATGTGAAGTATCGTTGGCCACCACAGGAGCCGAGAGACGCATTCTCCAAGCGACACGCAGACCAGACGTATTTCCCCATGACGGTACCTGTACATTACTTCAAGAGTCTGTTGATGAGTTCAGAGACGACCTGTTTTGTTCCGAGTCATCAAAATGAATCCAGGACTCTTCAAAGCCCTTTTGGGGCATTGGATTGTCAGCCCATCTCTTCAACATTCTTTTTGCAGATGCATGGCGCCATGCATGGCACCGTGCACAACAGACCTTCCCAGGTCGATTTCACCCGGAAACACCGAGCCGCCAGATTGGTCTATCGCTCACCCCCGCGGTCCGTCGCGGTGTTCGGTCCTTTGGGCGGAACGGCCAGCGGCCAGGACGGGAGTCGATATTTGCAACTCTTGCCCACGAAGATGCGCAACGAGGATTTCTCGGGCATGGACGCCGTGGTGGGGCCGAGCTGGATGCCCGGCCATGAACGGACAGCGGCAGCTGGAAGACCGTGGACAGCGGAGGGTTCAGCCTGTTTCAGCTCCGGTTTGGGATGGAAACAAAAAGAACTTGTGCAAGAAGAATCCACAAGTAGGATTTGATTGCAAGACAATGTTGAAGCTTGGTCAACAGTGTTGCTTACTATCCAAAATCTAGCTTGGTGGAGATCACAGAGCCATGTCGGACAGGTCTCTTTGTGAGTAAACTGACTTGGACGTGTTTGTTAAAGCCAGGAGTATAGTCAGACCAAACATTTGGAGGAACACATTTTTGTTGCCTTCGCTCATGGTACCAGCTGCTTCCAATATGTGCAGGCCAATCAGTTCCCATTGGGCATAGGCCAACCCTTCTCCGCCAAATACCATCCGCCATATAGATCATATAGCTATATACCTGGATCTTCCACCTATGCCAAATGTCTGCCTTTTAAGCTGGTTTTATGGATGAAAAGGCAGAAATTCTGACTGCAGTTGGAAGATCCAGGTATACGACAACCAAAACGCCCGGGCAGAAGAACGTCGAACCCCGCCGGCGTGGTGAAAACCGCCCACGAGGACGGTGCTCCCGGCGCCGCCGCACCGCCGGGGGCCCAACGACACGGCGCTGGCGGTCACCGAGACCCGGGACCCGCGGAGCAACCTCCTGGGCTGGCTGCGCCTTGGTGTCGCAAGAGGCGAAAAAGGAGGGAAGGGGAAGGTGGAGCTGTGCCTGGGGAGGTGGAGCAGAGCAGATCTTCCAATCTGATTGCAGATTGCGAAACGTCTGGTCATCGGCGAAACCCATCCAGTCGTTGGAGGTGAAAATGGCGTGCAACATGTGCAGGCCAGTTTTTGTCATCTATACGGCAACCCATCCAAACGACAGATGTGAAACTGCTTTCTTGGAAGATCCACATGCTGAAGTGACCAAAGTGGAGAAGGAAAACCTAGACATTCCAGACACATTCCAGCGACCTGGGACGTTTCTTCCGACCCACAGAGG